GTCACTGGTGATGAGTTCTCATATTTGTTGGGTACTTTAAAGGCTGTCTATAGTAATATTTTCTCCATTACATTAAGTTTAATATCACCACCTCTATCCCACTGCACTGTCTCACAAAGTGCAAAAGTTTTGAAAACTTGAAAACCAGAAACAAACAACAGCACAAGCAAAAGGAAGAAATTTCAAATGTCTGATAAACAAAAACAAAAGAAATTTCTAAGTATCAGCTTTACAAAAAAATCCAATAGTGCACAAATATTTTTACAAAAAGAAGCCACAATTTCCTGAAAGAAAACAGAAATGGTTGGACAAACGACAGTGTTCTTGTTTCAGGCACCTTTCACAACTCATAAAATTGACAAGTTCTTACCTGATTTCACTGCAATTATTTATTGCTAAAAAGTATGAATATGCTCTACTCTCCTTAGAAAATGTGAGATGTTGAAATTGCAGTGATGTAATTAGTGGGGTACCACAGGGATCTGTATTAGGACCACTCCTCTTGCTAATTTATATCAATGTCTAGATTCTGGTATAGGGAGCATATTATCACAAAGCTATAGAAGCTACGAACGAAAATGGGTGGAAAAATCATGCACTATAAATATATGGGGATACAAGATGGGAAAAACTAAGCTTAAATAAACTATGAAAAAGACCTAGGAGTTTAAATGTTGATATATTTGCATCTGGCAGACAATATATGGAAGCAGTAAAAAAACAAAAAATAGCAAGTTAAGATAGTTAAAAGCAAATAATTTAAATCAAGGGATGCTAAAATTATGCAATACACTGTTAAAACTGAATCTAGAGTACTGTGTGCAAATGAAGTCACCACATCATTCAAAAGCATTGCTGCTGCGTCCTACACTGACAGAGTAAAACAACAGAAGCTTTTTAGTCTTGAACAGAGAAGACTACGATATGAAGTATTCAAACCCCTCAATGATATTGACAACCCAGTGAGCTCCTTCATAGTTAACAGTGAAACACAAATCAGAAGACACAAGTGCAAACTACAGAGAGTGCATTTAAAATTTAGAACAGGACACACGTTTACAAAGGATTGGAGGAGTCTGGAACAAGATCCCTAACTATTTTTGATTCTAACAACCCAATTAAATTAGTTACTAGGGACCAAATGAGCTAGATAGGTTGAATAGCCCCCAATGTTTGTTACATGTTTTATGTCCTGTATAGAAATGCAAAGATTTTATTAAGTAAAATCTTTCTTCTTTACACACACTGATATAAATGCACATGAACCTATTTAAAGTTCACTCCAGGTGTCTGATTAAATACTGTCAGGTATACACAGCTCTTAAAACCTGTTTATGTTTAGTGTTGCATTATTTCTGCATAGCCCACAGAAGGGATCTGTGCTAATAATATGAACTGGAGTCTGCACTGTTCATTCTCTAGGGTAAAATGTATGAAAGAATATTTTGCCAGTACTGACAGACAGCTTTACATCCAGTCTGCTGTAACAGTCGCAGAACGTTCACCCCACAGCAACAGGCACCTTGCCTGAAATGACTCATGTCGCAAGATTTTCCTTTACCGGCAATCACGCTAATACAACAAAGCAGAACATAAAATGTCACATTAACAATGTTCAAGATGAATAAAACAGCTCCTAAGTGGTTTCTAGATTAACACAAACACATAACAAAAAAGACACCTTTCCTAATTTTTTAACATATTGTCTGCCTATAAGACCACAAAAATGAGGCTATGACAGACAGGAAGTCTTTAGGTTTTACTTTAAATGAAGCATCCCAGTAATGCTAGGTTTCTGCTCAAGAAATAAAAGCTGAATACACTTGTTGATTATAATTAGTGACAGGAAACAATAGACAATTACACATTGTTTCTCCTTGCGCTCTCAAGGTGCTTATTTATTATTCTCGTTAATTACCAGCTCCCAGTGAAAAGGCAGGGCTCTACTTTCACCACTTGCCCATGGCCTTGCCACAGCACGCTGTGCCTGTCAGGAGTATTTCCATGCTCAATCCCACAGACCGCAGCTCCAGGCAGCACTTGTGCAGTAGTGGCCCCGCCGACAAAGAGATGAGGGGAAGGGGCATGGTCTGACAGGGAAGCTACTGGGGAGGGGCGTGGTCAAATAAGTCGATTACGTTGGATGGGCGTGGTCAATGCGGTGGTGATGGGAAGGGGCTGGTCAGACAGGGAGGTAAAAGGAGAGGGCAGACATGATCTGCAAGGCCTGGGCAGCTGTGGCAGACAGGGCTCAAATCTCCCTTCCCAAATCAAGCGGGTTAGATCATTGTAACTAAGCCCAAGAAATAATAAGAGGACAAATCAATGCTGGCTTTCTGAGTTAATATTTCAATGTCTTCAACTGTCCATGTATGTATATGGAGAAATGTGATACTGAAAAACAGCTAAAGGAGAGAGCAAATTGGAATGCTCTGCTGATGCATTATCCAGTTAAAAGTAAAAGGGACTTATCACTGGTCAAAGCAGTTAATGTAAGACTGGTGACCACAGAGAGGAGACCATTTGGCACATCTAGTATCTAGAAAGAAGCCATGGTACCAGCTTCATCAGCATGGCTGGGTTGCTTGTTACATACTCCCACACCCCTTTGTGAAAAGAGTGAAAATCTTTCATTCTAATGACCACGATGGAAAAGAACAAAAACTTTTGAAATAGTTGACCTTTCCCAATACGATAACAAATTTGCTTTAACTATGCACTCAAGATTTTGAGCATTTTTTCAGAAAAAAAAATCCTATTATGATCATTAATGTTAAGAAAATAAATTGCCAAGTTTTTTTTTTTTTACAGGTGGCCACAAGTGTCTCCAGCAGTCAACAGAAAAGAGAGGTAGCCACACAGGAATGGCACGCCACAGACCACTGCCTGCATGCAACAACTGCTGGAAGCTCAGCCACTCAGCCACTTTAACAAGTGCAGTGTTTCACAACAGCAGCTCAGCAAGCCTGCCTTCAAGTCGTTCAGCAGAGCCGCTATCATCCCGCGCTGCTCACGAGTGCAGCCACGGGGGGCTGACGCCCTGCTGTCACTCACAGATGAACCCGGTCTCTGCAGAAGAGGGTACAGTGCTGAGCACTCTCTCAGCCGCAGGTCTCTGCTCACACTCCCACGCTGTACTACGACTTCTCCGAGTGCACAATGTTAACACACTGACCAGCAACTAGCTGGAAAAAGCCTTTTGAATGTTCCCGCAATAACTACTGCTCTCAAACCTCTCAAAAATAACAATGCCGATCCTGTTAAGCGGACACAGATTCGGGGGGTAAACAATGCATACTTGCAATCTGCAACAAGACCAGGACTTTCCATCTCATCCGAAGGTTTAGCACACAAAATGCTGAGACTATGGAATAAGTAAGCACAACGTAACCACAATATCCAAGCACCCAAAAATACTCATGAGAAATGTCCTTTTAACTGTAGCATGCAATGTTGTTTCAGGAAGGTAACGAACATACAACTGTTGTTCATTCATAGTCTTGTGGTTTCATGGGGACTTGGATCCACCCGAGCTTTTAAATGACTTGACTGAAGCCTTTGGCTACTGAAGAGCAGAAGTAGCCTAAGAAGCCAGAATGACTGTGGCTTCAGAACAAAGGGTTCATTGCTGATATGTGGTAATAAATCATTAGCTCCTAGTATGTGTGCACAGACCCCCCCAAAAAATCAAGACTGGCAGCACCAGCAAAACGGCATCTGTTGAAGATCCCCAATTTCAGCTCTGATGTTCAGAACATGCTCTACACAAGAGGCATCCAGCCCTTCCCAGCAAAACACTTTCAGCTAATAAGACTGAAGTGGAAAAGATTGACATAAACTGAGAATTTCAATGGACTGAAATGCTTGCAAACTCTTAGGGTGAGGAAGCATAGCAGAGAGAGACCAGGGACGCTGCAGAAATCGTCAAATCAGTCTGCAAGTCTCAAATCTTAAGTCTACATTAGGAAAAATGAAGGAAATACATGAACTGAGAGACAAATGGAATACAACAACAACCTCGAGTCATACTTTGGATGGTCCACGCATTACACATTAATATACATGCCTATCATAGTTAATAGCCTGAAATAAACTGGATAAATTAGTTAATTACAGAAGCGAACTCTACATCTGGTGAGTACATTTTTCGAGCCTAATGCATCTTGTTAAACCTTTCCAAGCTCCCAGAGACAGCCTAAGGGTGCTCTGACTCAAGTTGAGCAGCCAATGTTCTGTAACTCAGCTTTAATACCAGTTATTAAAAAGCAGTGGCGCATAAAATAATAAAGAATATACAAGAGGATAATTGCAAACTGATTGTATACTTAATCCTGTAAGACTCTAAGCAATCCATCTGCGTCAAACGATTCGCTCATCGTTAATGAAGTCATCCTAGCATTTGGTAAAATTAGAAGAACATCCAGCTGTTTCATGTGGAAAGAAAACACCACAAGAATACAGGAATGACATCTTTGTGACTGCATTCCCATTGTGCACTTTTGTAACAGTAATGGTGTAGTGCCCCCTAGCTGAAATGAATGCCGATTTAGAGTCTGGATATTAAATGAAGAACATGGCAAAAGGCAATTAGAAGAACAAACTCCCACTAAACAAAGTAAAACATGATAAAATCATACAAGATGAATCCACAGTATATTGAACGAGTACACTTACATGAAATTATTGCATTTCTTGGTTATCCAAATTTCTCCACTTCATGCTATATCACTACTGGGCATCTTAAAAGCCTCAGAAATATAGGCATGTCTTTCAGGGAACTCTGAGACCTTAAAATAGTGTTGAAGAGAAAAACCCAAATGCCTAACGTGTGTTGGGCTCGTGGTGAAGTATATGTTATTGCAAGTCAAATAGATTATATATTGTGTTTTGGGGGGGGACACTGTTCATGCCTCAGAGAGATGCGTGTTGCCCAGTATTGGTGCTGGATTAAGCAGGTGAAGGCCTTGGCAGAAGTGCCTCCCTCTCCCCCCGCCGTGTACCTGACCATGCCTCCTGCCTTCTGGATCCTCATCCTCTCCTCGTAGCAAGTGGGGTTGTGCTCCTTGCTCAGAGCCAGTGTGGCAAACTTCCCAGGGCTCTCCTCTGCCCCGCGGCACAGCACAGCCTGTCAGCACAGCACCACACAACACGCACGTCAGTTTACAGAGAACATGGAGCAGAACTTCGGCTCTGTTAGCCTCTACAAAGAGGTAAAAAGGTTGTATGCGTCTTAAGCTTCAGTGTGTAGCGAAAAAGTGTTTAGCTTTTTTATAACATGTGTCCTTTATGTAAAGGCTAAGTTATAGAAATTTTAATTCAATAGTACTCCATGGGCAAGCTTGAATCGGCATTTTGTAACCTGCAGCCTGTGCATAACATGCTTAAACACCTTTAAAAAATGTCAGTGTATATCGATATCTTAAAATTATGGCAATGACTACACAGCAGGAAGGTTAAATTAACTCAGTTTCATTAACAAAAACATTCTAACTTTCAACAGAAGTGATACCTTAGATCAATGAGTCAAATAGGCCAATTAAGAGATTAATAACTCAGGAGGTATGTCATTTTTTTCCAATCACTGTACTGGGTGTTGTGCCCTTCACAAAACTTTGCCACAGAATGCTTTACAGAATTGTACAGCAGTTAGCTAGATCACTAGAGGATGCCGAGCTGCGTCTCTCTCAGTACTGAAAGCTCCTTCTTCTCGAGGTCTCCCATCTGGCCATGTTTTATTCATGAACTGCTCTGGACCAAGCCCCTGCTATGAAGTGAGACCCTGGCGCTGTGTTCGTGAAACGATCTGTTAGAAAAACAAAGTGCCTCACAGGGCCTGCACTCCAAGGGACTTCCAAACGGGTGCTTATGTAATGGAGCACACTGGTAATGGCAACACAGCCCAGACCAGGTTCTCCACTCCCTTAAAATAGATTTCTGTATTTTAAGTCTTAAAGCCAGCCAAGACACAAACACAAATGCAGCAGTGGTGCAGGAATGATTCAAGAACGACGCCTTTGTGGTTCAGGGTACATGAATAAAGACTGCTGTATTCTGAAGATGGACCAAAACCCATGAACGCGATCCTTTTTTTGCATTTATTCTAAATTATGTATAAAATATAGGTAGGACCTTGTATAAGCTCAGTGGGGCTTAATCAGTATTACCCTTCATCTGTCAAATGTTTTTGCACTTTTTTAATGCATACTGCTAACGTTATGAAAAAATCCACTCTGCAGGAAACTGGCACAAGCATTGAATATAAATTCTATCTAGCATGATCATTTATTTCCTGAAGAACACAGATTCTATAATGAAATAGCAGAAGATGCATCTTACAAGTAAGTGCTATTTCCTGTGGCTCCAGCCAGCCTGTTAAGTGGCACCCCTGTACTGTGGAAGCACCATGGCTGCCCACACTTACCCTGCTGTCTCCCAGGTTGGCTACATACACAACATCATCCATCACCAGCATGCAGGTGGCTGTGGACCCATCCTTCCAGGCCGGCTTCCTGAGGGGCACAACAGAGCTTTGTGTTCATCATCATCACACAAAAAGGACAGGAAGCCTCAGAAAGAGTCTAAAGAAAAGCAATAACGTGGACGCTTGGTCTCGGGGAGTTGTTATATATGGACAGGTTGAAGATAATGTATCTTTTAAAGCAAGCGAAAAAGAGATTGGCAGAAGATTTGATCCAAGGATATAAAATCCTATATATCTATATATGGGGTCATCCCAGTGGTCCACTTCACACTGTTACTATTAAACTCCCCCCCCCCCACAAACAGTTGCCAGGGTCTGGAAGAAGTGCCCCTATTAGGAGAATGATGCCCAAACAAGGCTTCAAGTAATTACATAATTATGGGTCAAATGCCCTGTCTTATATCTTGTTAAAATCATATTTTGTATAGATTCTTGGTGAAAGTACAATGATACTAAAATTAAACTCAGCCTTCTCAAGACATCAGCTATATTCTTTAAATAGGTACTTGTATATCATTTTCAGATTATTGGAAACCCTTTCTGCACTTTATCCATTGGTCTACAACCTACTGTGACAACATACCACACAAATTCTAAACATATGCGCATTTGAAAAATTTGCTGTAATATAACACGTTGCCACACCACTCTAAAATAAATCCTCTACACCAGCGGTTCTCAAACTTTTTACCACCCCAAGTACCAAACCAAAGCATCCAAGGACCACCTATAAGCCATCTTCTCATAGGAACCCCAGAAAACCTCAATGACCAACATGAGTGTGCTCGCACACACACACACACATATAATAAAAATAGCACTGAGTACTAAGATCATTTGGATCGTACCGCCTTGTAGCTGTTTTTCCCAGATGGCCAACACTAGCAGGTTCAGGTTCAGCAGCAGAGCTAGTGCCGGTGGCCAATGTATAAACCTCCTCGTTCTCAACAGGTGTTCGGAATCTACTGGAGCTGGCGTCAGTACTCGTGGCGTCTTTTCCTTTCAGCCATGACATAATATTTGATTTTTGCGAGGTATTCATTTTCAATCAATTGTTCTGTTGGCGAATGTGGCGGTGTTGGAGAACATTTTCCCCGTTTCCCCTTAAAAGACAGTCAGGAGTCCCTCGCAGAAGTTTAAAAGAAGTTTTTTATTTCATGCGCATGGGAGCAAAACGCACAGAGATGCTCAGTGCATTTTTCTCAAAGAAATTAACCTAAAACAGTGCCTAAACGTTTTTCTGTTATCTATCACGCTTTCCTGTGCTTAAAAAATTGGCAGTGTTCCAAAATCACGCACATCCTCCTATCTCCCTATTTGCCAATGATAACTTATAATACAATTCGTCACTTAGGTTCGTAGCACGCATTCCTATACAATGGTATATAAATAGTATCCATTGTGCCAACCCAAGCAGAATTTTTAATTATTCAATTTTTAATTCCCAATTTTTGAGTGCACACAACAAATTTCAAGGGTCATCTGGCGTACCACCTGGGGGCGCTCTGTACCACAGTTTGAGAACCACTGCTCTACACAACATCAAAAGCATGCTGCCAAGAGTCTTCACATAATATAGTCATGGTCAAACTGATTTTATCATAATGGCATAGTTTCAAAATATTATTAAACCAAACTAAAACAGAGGATGTATTGGCTATCGATATGCACAGTACAATTTAACATTTAATACAGTTAATTTATTAATATTCAATTAAAAGCAGATTATTTACTATAAAGAACCATAAATAGAATTAATATTAACCAGCGATAAACTGTAGTTCATGCCTGGGTAGCACTGTAGCTCCAATGAGCCTCTGACCATGGTTATACAGATATGTTGCACATCTCTTGGACCCTCAGCTAAGGCCACAACCTTCACAGCAGTCTGCCTTAATGAGATTAACCTACAGAGCTTCCTATAGAGGACCTATGGATTCCTCTGAATGCGTCCTATTTAGCCTCACTATCTCCTGAATCAAGATGTTAATGAAATCAGACTCTGATGACATGGGAAATGCAGATTTGGTGTCTGGTGACCACCTGACCTCTTGACCACAATTGGCAGCCTCACCAAAAGTCAAACACTATGCCATTTTTATTTGTTGTTTTTTTGGGGGGAATGGCTTTTGCATTAGTCATATATTAAAGAAACTCTGTAATGTATTTTAATACAGCAGTAAGCTCCTGAGAAGATCATTTTCAGGGTAAACCATTCTAATACATCACCATACAATACAGAAAAGCTTTTAAAGGGACAACTGTTCACCGAGACTATCCATAAGTCTCCATCTTGTGCACTGTGCAATGGCTGACACGTGGCAATGACGTCTTCTCCTATCAGAGTCTCACAAACAAAACCGTGATTTGTTATAATTCATCAATGACATCCTCCTTCACAGAGCGTAAACATATTCCTGTTTTCAAGGACGTACATGATTATTACAGACAACTTTTTGACTCGGATCCAATCTCACATCCTATCAGCATGAAGGCTATATTATGTTTCGTAAGATACTGTGTATTAAAAGAAACGTTTATACTTTTAATAAACTGAGACATATCCCAAGACATATACAAGCGCCTAAGTTTTATGTTAATTCCATATAACCCAGTAAATCCAGTGAGATTCTTCAGTTCCTTTAGTATTCCTCCTTGGTACAGGTTCATCAGCTTGCCCTTTGTCACACGATGAACATAGTCCTTCACTACACTATCAGATGGTACTCACTGACTAGAGGCGTGTTTGAGGAAATCGTCATCTGTCTGCTTGAAAGTGTCCAGAAGGCATTTCTTCACCAGCTTGTCAAGGTTTTCAGCATCACCTGCAAAGCACAAACGAGAACGACATCGCACAGCCTGGCAGTACAATGCACGGTTCTGACAGACTAAAAACCCACAAAACCACATTTTATACATATTGGGAAGAACACTGTTATTCTGCTAGACTTCTACTCAGCTGCCACCTGCAAACTCAGACATTAAATAACATTTTGCGGACATGCGAGTGTACGACAGCCACAGCATTCAAGACACTGTATACCCAATGACCTGCAATACAGTCCATGATGGTTTCATCTCAACTAATGAAATCTGAAAAATTGTTAAAAGATATCAGACACCACTTAACCCTTATAGATATTTCAAAATAACAATCAAGATCTTGCCACTGGTGGAAATCCAATAATAAACATACAAAAAACAAGCAAAAAAAATAACAATTATGTAATCAATAAATGAATAACAGTTTTAGAAGTTAATAAATCGGTGACACAGTAGCACAGTGATTAATGTTGCTGTCTCACAGTGATGGGGCCTTGGGATCAATTCAGGACCTGGGTTGCTATCTGTGTGGAGTCTTGCCGCGTTTATGTGGGTTTGCTCCAGGTGCTTTGGTCTTCTTCCACAGTCCAAAGACATACTGGTAGGTTAATTGACTTCAAAGAAAATTGGTCCAGGTGTGAGTATGTGTGTACTCTGTAATGGACCGGTGTCCTGTCCAGGGTGTACCCTGCCTTTCGCCCGCTGCTTGCCAGGATAGAATCTGGCTCCCCCGTAACCCTGAATCGCATGAAGCAGGCTAGAAGATGGATGGAGAAGTGAATAAATGTACATTACAATCTGTGAAAGTCTTCTTAGATATTGAATATAAACAGTAGAAAAAGGCAGTTCTGGGTTGAAAATACAGCAGTTGCTCCTCCTAGTGGCAGAATGTCTTTAATGCAGATTTTTAGGGGGGGCAGAGCATATTACACTTAATATAAGTAACATCATATTTACAATATTCGATATCATTTAATGCTTTTCAAGCTGTTCATTACATTTTTAGTTTACAGACATGGAAATTAATTCATTTCTTATAAACCTCCTCAGTATTTGTAAACCATCACTATTTTCAGAGATGAAAAAGTGCCCACAGATAAATCCTGCTTCTTCTGTAAGGGACTTGTACTGAAATCACCCGAACATGTTTTCAGTAATTTCACATATTCTAACAGTTAACTGCTGTATCAATTTGTTTACACATTATGCCAAATTAAAACTTCTCAAGGTACAATGCATTTGCAATGTGTCTGCTCTTACATTTCTATGAGCAGGATACATTTTCTCATTACCTCTGGGGATACAGACAAATAAGGTACTGCTTCTATTAATCTGTGATGTCTTGGTCCTGTCTCTCTGGCAATGCAAAAAATGGACCATTGTAAACATGTAGCGTGGTTTATATGTTAGCAAAGAATAATTTGCTTTTCAAAGCATGGAATGTGGAAATGCATATACTTTACCCTATTAGAACATTTAGAAATTACCCGTAAAAGCACTTCAGCCCACCTTCTGCTTCACTTTTTGCTTCAACACGTCACAGCACTGAGTCGATTAGATCAGTAGCTGTCAGTCCTGGTCCTGGTGAAGTCCTTCTCAGTTTCCTTGTTTTCATTCTGATTGGGTCCTTAATCAACTGTGTTCATTTGTACCAGGAATTGATCTGCTTGCTTGTTAATACATTTACTCCACTCAGTGCTTGGTTTCCAAAATACTCCACACCTTTAGCATGGAGAACTCAACTCCACAATTTTTCACAGCGTTCAGTTTGCCATGGAAACATTAAGTCATAACAATTTGAACAAATCGTAATAATTAAAATATAAATGCATTTGTAATGGACCTGATTTCTCGCATCTAAACCGGTTATAAGAAAAAGGTCATAATTTTACAGCCCGATAAAGCAAAAGTCTAACAACACTTAGAGATACTCACATTTAAACATTGGGTTTAGAAATGTCAAAGATTCTAATTCACATATCTCATGAGTGGCAATAACACTGCAAAGAGCAGTAATGGTGCGCCCTTGCAGAGCACAGTGACGAAGAGCAAGGTGCAAAATTCATTTCTTATGATTTTGCAAGAATATTTATCATATTTATAATTAATTTCATGACATTCCTGGTAATTTATAATACATATTCCCTCTCTATACACACATCAATTGAAATAATGAGATTGGTTATTTTATTTGGATTTGTAAAATCCTTACATTTTTTTAAGCTTAATTATTTTCTCCTCAAATCTGGCAACCTAGTCGACTGCTTTGTTCACCAAGGACATGCCGGCCATGACTGTGTGAGACTGTGTGTACTCCAAAGCACGAGACCATGAGATCTGGTCCCACTGCTTCAGACCTGAGACTATGCAAGTACATACATCACAGCTGCCAGCTGATCCTGCAGTGTATTACTCTTGTGTGCATTTTGTCAAGTGTTCAAACATTTGTTTGGGCTGTATACAACTTTGGGAAACCCCAACACTATTCTCTAATATTTTGCCGTTGCAATACGAGTCCCACCCTGACATTCTCTCTGAAGTCCTGCAGGTCTTACTTAGGCCGAGTTTCACTTTGGGGTGTAAAAACTGGTGTAAAATGGCAAGTGAATGTGAGTAGTAACAGACTAAAAGAAAGAGGGCTGCATACCTTTGGGGAACTTGAGGGCTAGGTTGAGATGGAGATTTTGGGCAGCGTACCTAGATGCCCGGCTTCCACCATGCCCATCGAAGACTGCAAAGTATGCCAAGTGTGATCTAGGATAAACGGAAGAAAACCTCAAAAAAAGATTCGCCAAAAACATCCCAATGAATTGAGATTTAGGACTCCCTGGGCACTATGCTAACCTGGCAGCTCCTTTTTTCCCCATGTGATGCACATTTAGAGCAAAACCAAAGGCAAGGTTTTGCCCTTTGCCTTGTTTCGATTTTTGATGTGTCTGAGCTTAGGTTGATATGGTGGAACAGTGGCAGCGCTGGAATCCTGGGGTCAATCCCAGAACCAACGTGCTACCTCTGTGGAGTTTGTGTGTTCTTCTCGTGCTTGTATGGGTTTCCTCCGGCTTCCTCCCAAAGTCCAAAAACATTCTGGTAAGTTAACTGGCTACTGGAAAAACTGTCCCTGGTGTGTGTATGTGTGTGCCCTGTGATGAACTGGTGATCTGTCCAGGGTGTACCCTGCCTTATGTGCCCGTTCCTTGCCAGGATAGGCTCCAGCTCCCCCACTACCCTGAATTGGATGAAGCCATTAAGAGGAGGGACCGATGTGCCTGAACTCCTGAAGTAAAATGAAGTTTTCAGCCCAAAATACTCCTGAAAACCTTTCATGTTTCAAAGCATCCAAAGTCTGCGAGATGTTTTAAAGTCAGCCGTGTGGCAGTGGGATCAAGTGAGCTGCTGGGAAGTTCACTCACACTTGGGACGGCAGCGAAGACACCTGAGACGAAAAGTCGGGCAGAATAACGTGGGCGTCCTGCATCTCCTCCCTCTCTCCCTTCCGTGCCGCCACATAGCCCTTCAGTCTGGGGATTCCTGGAACAGACAGCACACACACAAAGGCACGCTGGCTGTCAAACTCCTGCTGTTTTCCTAAATCCCCTTGTGGCCACTGTAAAAAAAGACAGATCACAGATTTACATCCACACTCCCCATAACATTACCCCTTCTTCACAACTCAATGGTACGAGCTTGTTGTTTGTTGTTTGCACTTCACTCTTTTGCACTGTCTGCTCATCTTGTCTGTCTAAACCCTCCAGCCCACAGTAGCTTTGGGTTGTATTGATCCTGGGAGCTGATATTTGCACCAAAGTCTTTGCTGTCACAAGCTTTAGAACAGATGTACATCACTCTATCCTATATCGTATTCTGTTAAACTATGCTAAAAAAATAGTTTATCACTGTGGATCTAATAGCTTTTTTCTTATAATCTCTCCATTCATATTTTAAAATGCTTTACTAGATATCATTAATTCAAAGGTGGAAATTAATCAGAGTAAACAACAAGCAGGGACATTCCAAAACACATCGTCCTAGTGTTCAATCTATATCCCTATCAATCCCTGACTGTTATTACTTGGTTCTAAGAGTATGTCTTAAAAAAAGGTTTAGATTTTTAAAGAAGGCAAGAAGCAGGCGGACAGTAGGTTACGCCCTGGACAGGACACCAGTCCATCGCAGGGCACACTCAGACACAGACGCACACACACTCACACCAGTGCCGACTTTCCCAGGAGACAATTAACCTACTAGCATGTCTTTGGACCGTGGGAGGAAACCAGAAACTGGAGAGAACATACAAACTCCACGCAGATAGCACCCCAGTAACTGAACCCAGGGCCCCAGAGCTGTGAAGCTGCATGCTAACCACTGTGCTAAAGTGTCATCCTTCTATGAAAAGACGGATGAAAACATCATAATAAAACTACATTCTGTGTTAGGAAAATCGAAATTATTGTGTGCTATTAAAGTTCTGTACCTCCGATCCGTGGAAGAAAGGTTAATGCACTATATTCCAAGAACACCAGAACTTGTTTTGTGGAGGGAAGGTACAGTAGAAGTGGCTGGCCATCAACACTTTGCTGCTAACGTCTATAACGAAGACTATGCTGTGTGCAATCAAGGAAGGCAGCCAGAGCACCAGACCCCCCACCCCCCAGCCCCAGGTGAGGAACAGGGGTGTGGACATGGCTGAAAACCTTTACAAACTTTCTTTTCCTCCAGCTGTTGCTCTGTGCCGTTGCTTTCAGTGTCTAGTTTCCTCTTCTCTGTCTTGGGCTTTTCCTCAGTCTTGGAGTCTTTGGAAGAACCTGTGTCTGCTGCTAAAAGAATAAGAAGGAGGGATTTTTATTGAAGGGACCCAACAAATCAGGGATTCTGATCATG